CCCGGCTTTGACAGCGTCCGCAGCCTAATCGCAGCATCGACGTGCAGCATCTATGTGATGCAGGCCCAGGTGGCGGAGAACGACCCCAACAACAGATCTCAGCACGCCTCTCACCACTGGATCGCACAGAGTCTTGCGTCGCACCCGTGGCGCGTCGACAGGCTTAGCGAAGCGGACATTGTGTACTTCAACGCCTCCCTCTCGCTGAAATCCCGGGGGCGCTACACCTATTTGCGCAAATGGTCAAATCAAGGTTTTGTAACGCGAGCTGTGCCACAGTGAAATGGAACTAGCCACGACCGACCTGTGTTATGTTTGGCTGCGTTGAGGAGATGCGAGAGAGAGAGAGATTTTAGAAAACCAACCAGAAATCACGACTCTCATGCGTGCGCGCGCCGCGCGGGAGAGGGAGGTGAGGACTGATGTTTGCGCGCCGCTAATGTGGCTGTAGGAGAGGTACCCAAAAAGCACCCTACCCGCCTGTGAACAAACATTAGCACTTTTTTTCGTAAAGAAAGAAAGAAAACAGACAACCCAAGGGAGGGATGGGAGGACGGCACGCCGCCACCACACAGGGATTTTAAGGAGGAGTCTGCCTCTTCCTATCTCTCTTCGTATAAAAACGATTTTTTTGTGACATTGAGAACCTCATCGTCTCACGCCCCCGAGAGCCTGACGTCGCGCCGAACGCGTCAATGAGGCCGAGCAGTTCGATATGCCTCCAGCTTGCCATCGGGCTTGCGATCGCAGCAGCATTACCGTGTCTCGTAGAAAACCCGCTGCTGGGTCTCGTGCTCTCTGGCGCCCTCAACGTAGCCCTGTTGCTCCGAGTGCGGCAGCTCGAGCTCAAGTTGGCGACGTTGGAGAGAAGCACACCAGCCTGCGCGAGCCAAACACCAGATACTGCGTTGCGCGTGCAGCACCAACAGTCTCTGGCGGTACCACTGCCGCGCCTGAATGCCGTGGAGGCGCAGAGGCTTGCCAGGGGCGAGACAGTGCTCAAGTCGATTGGCCAGGGCGGCGACGGGAAGGAGGGTCTCGCGGCCGTGATGATCGAGGCTCCGGCGGAGCTGGTGTGGGCGACGCTGCTCGACTTCGGCTCCTGGCCGTCCATGGTGGACAACGTCACTGCCGCCGACGTGTACGAGAGTGTGCAGCCGCCCGCCACACGGCCTACGCACGCACACACGCTCACCGCTGCACGCTCACGCTCGGCCACGTCCCCCGACGGCGGTAGACTCGGGCGCCGACATCAAGGTCCGCGTGGTGATCGGGGTCGGCCTTCTGAAGATCACGTCTCACGTGCACCACGTGCGGGGCCTTTCTCCGAGTGCTCTCTGGCGACGCGCCTGTGAACATGAACGCACGCCCACACACCAGGTGCTCGATCGGCTCCACAACCAGCTCACGTGGACCCTCGACCCTTCGAAGCCCTCCGACCTCGTCCAGAACACCGGCCACTGGCTGCTTCGCGAGGAGCCCGCGAGGCCAAACTCAACGGCCGTCTACTACTCGGCGACACACGCACATCGCCCCACGCGTCCGCCCCACATTCCGCAGCCCGACCCCGCACCTCCGACCCCCGCACACCCAACATGTTTTCCCGCGTCGCTGCCTCCCGCAGGCGCGAGTCTCGCTGAGCGCGTGGGCGCCCGCGTGGCTGGGCAGGTTCATCGCGGCGCAGGGGCTGCCGCGGGCCACCGCGTGGCTCAAGCGCGAGTCGGAGCGGCGCTTCGCGGCGGGAGGCGCGTGGCGCGGCTCTCTTCGGCGCCGCGTCCAGTCGTCGCCGAATCTCGAGCGGATGGGGCGGCCGGCAGGGCAGTGGGCGGGCGACCGAGCAGCAGACGGGTGGTCGACTGGGCAGAGAGGCGGCGGCGCGGTCTCTCCTCCGCCAAAGCCCCTCGCGCTCGAGGAGCTTGCGGCCGAGAGCCAGCAGGCGCCCGAGGCGGACGGAGTGGCGCAGGCGATCGACTTTGGAGGAGGAGGTTCGGCGGTGCAGCAGGCGGACGGGCAGCTCGCTCCGCAGCACGGCCTTCGCCCACGGCGGCTGCCGCGTGTGGCGAGCGACGCCGACCTGCTCGCGTCCGCATCGAGCCGGTCCCGCTTGATGTACCGCCACAAGGCCTCCGCCTTCCGGCACCGCATGCGGCACTTTTAGCCCGGGCCGACCGTGTCGTGCATCGTGTGTACCGTGTACGTCTCTCAGTACGTATAGAGCCTCGTGTAGCGTGTATGTGCTGTGCGGCCGGTGTGAGTGGTGTAACTGTAACATGAACTACGTGTAACACGTGTGAGGTGCGCGCAGAGCCAGCGGGTGCAAGGAGGCCAGAGCCGAGGCGCGAGGCCGAGGGGGACACACGCAGCGAGGTGAGAGGTCGAGAGATAGAGTGGCGAGTCGAGTCAATCGTTTTTCAAACTCTGTCGCTTTTTGAATCATGAGAACGACACACCATCACTCCACAACTCTGACTCTCGTCCCCACCCTCCGCCTCGGAAGGGAACGCCACTGCTCGGCTCCGCCTGAGGCACGGACCGCTCCGCGCTCCTACGCCGCTGCCGCGCCGCGATATGAGGCGCGCGCTACGTCGCCACGCCCACGCGCCCCTCCGCGCGCGCCCTCTCGCCCCTCCTGCTCGCCCACTGCCGGTCGAGCTCCTCCCAGGCGGCGAGGTGCTCCTCAAAGGCGTCGCCCCACCAGACGTCGCTCGGCTGGGCGAGTGGCGGGCCGAGCCGGCACACGGCGGAGGAGGAGGCGCGGAAGAAGGTGCCGCGCGGCGTGCTGATCGGCTCCACGCTCAGGTTCTGCACGAAGGGCACCTTGTGCTTGTCGTAGTTGACCAGCTTCTCGACCGAGACCGCCTCGCGCCTCGCGACGGCGGCCATCAGCGCCTGGATCTTGACGGCGTCGGTGCCCGGCCCCTGGATGCAGCGCAGAGAGTCGCCCATCAGCTCGACCGCGGTGAAGCCGCACAGCGAGAGCCAGGCGGGCGAGGCCCAGAGCACCGAGTACGGCGCGTGACCTTGAGTTATGACAGTCATCGCGCCGCTCGGAGTCGGAGGAGGGTTGAACGAGAGCACCTCGGCCTGCAGGCTCAGGCTCGTCGCCGAGACGGCCTCTCGCCCGCGCGCCCGCCGCCCGTTTGCGCCCTTGCTGAGCGGCGCCACGTTCCGGCTCTCGGCTCGGAGGAGTGAGAGGACGCTGGATGGCGCCATGACCGGCCGCAGCGACAGAGTGTGGCGGAAGGGCTGCTTCTGCATGTCGTACGAGATGAGATCCGCCTCGTAGGGCCGCGATGATCGCGCCGCGACCAGCAGCCGGCGGAGCTCCTCAGTGTCCGTGCCGGGTCCGGAGAAGAGGTCCAGCGACTTGCCGACCGCATCGTCGTTGTCTACGAGCCCGACCATGGCTGCCCAAGACGGGCTGGAGAAGACTATCGCGTGCGGCGCGGCAGCCTCAATCAGCACGTAGGGCAACCCCGCCTCTGTGGCGTCCGCCTCCGTGGGTTGGTCAAGGGAGAAGCTCATCGACATCAAGCAAGCTGCTGTGTGAGACGTTTTTCGATTTTTCGATGGCGTGACTCTAATTATTCACGGCACGCGTCTACCTTCTCGTTGCTCGTGTGAACAATGGCGCTCACAGCCAAAGCAAACCGCCGGGAAGGCAGTGACTCAAAGAGGTCGAGCCGCGCTAATGGGGTGTCTCCGAGCTTACTGGAGCTCTGATGGACGGCCCTGACTATCCCTGACACACAGAGAGTCACTCTGACGGCACACAACACCCTATCCCCTATGACTGCGTCATGACCAGCCTGCCATGCGTCGCCGGTGCCGCATTCGTCGCTGTGCTTCTTTAGCAGGCGGTGGACTGTCGGCTGCGAGGACGGTCGCATTTGCGCGAGGCGAGGCGAGCATTCAGACGCGTTGCATGCGCCATGACTCGCGCCAGCGCGTGCGGGAGCTCCTGGCTGAGCGTTGAGTCCAGGCGAGTTGCGCTGGCCACTATCGCTACGCCGAGCCGAGCTGACGCGCCGAGGCGCCGGCCAGTCGCAGCCGTGAGGCATGCCACAGCAGCAGAGGCACCTGCCACCCATTGGGCGGGCAGACAGAAGGCCAGCGCAGCACTGGCAAGTGCAACGCGCCTCATGTCGGAGAGCGACCGTGCCTCGTTCGCCGCTTGTGATGTAGAGTTTGTTGTAGAGATTTCACGTTGTAGAGCGCCTCTACATCGCTCTACAGGCGACTCACATCGTCCCGCGGCGGATGTAGAGCTCTACAGCTCTCTACAGCGCTCTCCAGCGCTCTACATCTCTACAGCTCTACAGCTCTACATCCTCTTGTCTACAGCTCTCTACAGCGCTCCCCAGCTCTACAGCTCTACAACACTCTACAGCTCTACATCCTCTACACCCTCCCTCAGATGGCGCTGCGCGCTGGTCTATCTATGAGAGGTTGAGGTGCGAGCCCCCGAGCCCTGGAGGCCCTGGGGATGGGGGGAGACTACCCGCGGGGCCTAGAAGGCCCGCGCGCAGAGGGGGGTGGGACATCTGGGACATTGAGACTGGTCACAACCCACAGACGGTCGGTGGCGGCACAGCATCGTACATGCACTTGCACATGAGACGCACTCGCATGAATTGATATAAGGCGGACTTATTACGGCGAGCTAGTGCTGTGCACGCCAACAATACATCTAATACACAGTCATCCTGGGGGGTGGGGTGACCCATATATTGGGGCGGGGGGTCTGGACGTCCCAATCTGAACTCGAACAAACTAAAAATCTCTCTCTCTGACTGAACTCGAAGAAAGTCTCTGTGCTCTGTCTCTGAACTGAACTCGCGTGCCCCCCCCCGATTTTGCCCTCTTCCAGAGGATCGCGCCGACCCCCTTCCCGAACCCACCGAACGACTCGAACAGCAGCAGCCGCACGTCGACGTCCTTGTCCTCCCTGGCGTAGCGGTACTCGCCGCCATAGGACGGTATGCGGCGATCGCCGCCCGCCACCCTGCCCCCCCTAGTATGCCATCGACCCGTCCCCTGCCCCCTCTCGCCCTTGCTCTTCCTCTCCCCCTCCATGCCCTCGCCCCCGTAGCCCGTACCCCTCACACTCCCCTCCCCCGTCCACCCCCCTCTCCCTCCCCCTTGCCTCCCTCTCCCTCCTCGCAGTAGGGCCCATGCCCCACGACCATGTTCCGATAGAAAGCCTCGGTGTTGCCGAAAGCGACAAAAGCGCCCTTCCGACCGTGCTCCCCGCTGCTGGTGAGGCTGAGGGGGCCGCTGTCCTGTCTGTTGCGCTCTGCGTGCTCCGTGGTTAAATGTGTGTGCTGCGGTGTATTGATATTGGGATCGGTACTCTATTTAAATAAGACGTACGACGAATCGTACGTCTAGATATTGGTCGGATGTACACTGTATGCGGTGTAGAGTCTACACCGGCATACTTTAAAGCCGTACAGAGCACGGATGTGATTGTGTGTAGCGTGCTTTTAGGTTACCTGGCACTAGACCACAGACAAGTCGTGAAATGCCTTTGGGCGTTTAGTGGTGCGCTTTTCACGTTTGGGCGGCGGCCGGGAGGGCCCACGGCCACACGTTGAGCATCACGTCCGGCGCGTGCACATTTGGATAGTCAAGCGGCGTCGGGAACGCCTTGCAGAAGAATCCATTTTGGGGCCGATTCTGCTTCCTGCATCGTGCATTCTGCATGCTGCACATACAGAGTAAACATTTTGGGCTGGGTTCTGCATTCTGCATTCTGCATTCTGCATCTGCATTCTGCATTTTCAGAGAAATACGGAATGTAGAATCAGCCCGTCTATGCAGAGGCTGATCCATGCAGACTGCAACCTGCATGCTACAAGAGTGCAGTCTAGTCGACACCCTAGCTAGAAGAGGGGTTTCTCGGCGGCACAAGGAAAACCTTCACAGAAACGGCAGTCGATACACGCATCGCTCCTGCCACATGATTCGCCTGTCGCTGACTCACTGACACTGTCCGCGGGGGTGGGCAGATATGGAGGCGCCCGTCGTGCGTCGTACGAGGCCAAAGCGTCAGGGGAGTCAGAGACACGGTCGCTGTGTTTTTAAAAGGATGTTTGTTTTCAGCCCTCTCTCGGCCGCTACTGGCGCTCTACCTTCCCTCACAGCCTCACTCACTGACTCACTCACACGAGGTGTGGAGCTCCTGGCCGAGCTCTCAACAGACAGCTCGCTACTCGAGTCTTCCGCCGCACGCCGCCCTGTTGTGACTTCTGCCGTGGTCCTCAAGGGTGCTGCAGCCCATATCTGAAGCGCGCGTATGCGGCATCTCGGAGACGCGCCACCGCGATGCGGCGGCGAAGGAGCTGCCACTGCCGCCGTAGCATCCCCGCGCTGCACGGTGACGCTCCCATGCCACGCAGCACGAGGCGCAGGCTCACCCGGCGGTGCTCCTCCGACGGGTAGAGCGGCACCGCCACCGTGTCGTAGAGCTTGTACGGCGACCGCTGCAAGACCTGCGGCGTCTGCTGAACAAAGTGCCGGAACGGGCGGCCACCGCAGCTAGGGTCCTGCTCGTGGACAAGCACGATGGCGATGCGCCGGTCCATTGCGTCTTGCACGAGGCGAGTGACGGTGCCGCCCGCATCGAGAAAGGTCTTATCATTCAGGTAGAGTAGGAGCACGAAGTGCCCTGAGAGAGGGGCCGCGCTGGCTCCCTCGAGCGCCTCCTCCGCATCGCGGATCACAACCATCTCGGATGCAGCAGAGCCGCCCCCCTCCTTCGCCGCCGCCTTGACTTCGTCTGCTACGCCAAAGGCGCCCTTGTTGCCGCGGCACACGAGGATGGTGACGGGGCCGCTGAAGGCGACGGGACCTGCCTCGCCGGGCACCATCACTCCTTCAGCAAGCTCGGCCGGGTGGCTCGCGTAGAACGGAGAGTGCAGCAGCATGCGCAGCGCGACGGCCTTGAGCGACTCGAGCTGAAAGGCGTTCACCCGTACCCACACGATCGGCTCCGCCTCCTCAAACACGCGCGCGAGCATCTCGTCTGGCCCGCGGTAGGAAGGGTAGGCGGGCGGGGCGACCTCGACGCAGCTCTCGCGGCACTCGGCCTGCAACGCAGCAAGAGAAGCGCCGCCCTTCGTGGCGTCGGCCTCGAAGATGGGGATGAAGGGCCGGTTCGAGGCGAGCGCAGCGTACAGCTCGCGGCGACAGTTGAAGCTCTTGAAGTAGCCGGCGCTGAGGAAGACGAGAAAAGACATCGCATCGGCCACCGCCTCCTCGAGCCTTCCCACATCGTCGAGGTTATCGACGTCGAGCCAGATCCGGACGCCGGGCATCAGCAGCTGCAGTCGCCGCACGACGGTGTGGGTCTGGTCCTGGCCGGTCCCCCAGGCGTGCGAGATGAAGCCGTGGAAGTGGCACTCGGGGCACAGCTCGAGGGCGGGAGGGCGATCGGTGGAGGCGAGGCGGATGGTGGGCGCGCGGACGGCGCTCACTGTCTTGAAGAAGACGACGAGCAGCGACGTAGCGAGCATTGCGGCGGTGAGCGCAATGACAAACTCACTCGCTCCGTGCGCGCTGTCGAAGCCGACGAGGGTGTAGCACATGTTCTCGTAAGCAGCGCTCTCGCACAGCTGAATCACGGTGCCCGAGATGAAGCAGCACAAGAGCAAGAGATTGGCGGTGCACGCGAGGTAGAGGTCGTCGTCGCGCTTGAAGGGCCGGGCGAGGGTGAGGACGGCGAGGTAGAGGCCCGAGACGACAGAAGCGACGAAGAGGCGGAGGAGCTTGCTCGATCCGTACTCGGTATGAATGAAGAGCACCAGCGAGGCGAGGAAGAGCTTGCGGCCCATATCGACGACCTCCCAGAAGAGGAAGCGCGGGTCGTAGTCGCGCCAGAGGAAGCGGCTGGCGCCGGCAAGCGGGGTGACCCGCTGCGCTTGCACCTCGGAGCGGATCGAAAGGAGGAGCGCGAGGAAAGCTAGCGGGATGAGCACCGGCCAAAGGACGAAGAAGGCCCAAAAGTAGGCGTCGAGGCCGCTGTACTCGTCGTCGTCGGCGCTGCAGAGCACGGTGAGGTCGGCCACGAGGTAGCTGCGCCTCTCCCCGGTGAAGTCGTTGACGGCAAAGGATTCGCACTGCTCCACTTTCAAAATGGTACGAGAGACGGAAGGCAGCACAAGGTAGGCGACGAGGATGGCCCAGTAGAGGATGCGGCGCAGCGTGGCTCGGACAAGGTCGCGCCGGAGATCGTCGGCGCGACCAGACAGAAGCCACACTGCGAAGGCGTGGCAGGCGAGGGCGGCGCCTTCAAGCAATATGGCAACGAGAGGCCACAAGCCGGCAACCATGAGCCGGATTCTCATCGAGCCCATGCACGCGCCCGGGTAGGTGAGGCCAAGGAGGTCGAAGCTGAGCGAGTCCATAAAGTTGGTCCAGCGCGTAAAGGTCTCGTTGAGGCGGACGCCGTAGACGGGGCCAAGCGTCGTAGCGATCTGGTAGAAGCTGACCAGGACCTTGAACTTGGGCTGGAAGCCGACCTATGGTAAGGTGTACAAGGGTGCTGGTGTATAAGGTGTAGCTACACTTATACACTCAAGTGTGGACAGGCTTCTTCCATCCTATGCGACGAAAAGCCTCTAGGCAAGTAACGTGCAAGAGGCGGGAGTTGCGGGTGCGCGGGTGTTGGGGGGTGGGGCCAACCTGCGACTCGATGATGTCAAGACGTGCGCTAAAACGGCCCCACGCCTCGGTGCTGACGAGAGCACGGCACGATAGGAGCACCGCCCCTGAAAGAGCGACAATGACTCCCGCCAGGATGCCGAACCGCCACGTCGTCGGGCAGTCGACGCAACCTGACTCCGCGCTGCTGAAGTACTGCTCGTCGTTCACGCACCACTCGCAGAGCGGGCCAGTGTGGCCCGTGTCGCAGCCCGGGCCAGAATCGGCGAGGCGGGGACCAGAGGGTATCTCAACCTCCGACGCACTTCCCGAGCCGCGGCAGTGCTTCGAGACGTCGCACTTGTGAATCTCGGTGGTGAGGGGCGAGGCGCGCCAGTAGCCGCGTGGCACGCCGAGGGTCTCGAGAGTGGTGTTGGTCGAGCAGTCGGCGTTTGACGGGCACGGCTGGCAGTAGTAGGTTGGGGAATTGAAGATGTCGTCGTCTGAGACGGGGGTCGAAATATGCAAGTAGTGGTCGGCCTTGCAGATGGAGCAAGTGACGCTGCCGTTGACCGAGCTGAGGGGGTGAGGGCATGGGAAGCAAAGGTCCTGGCCAGCGTTGGCGGCGTAAGAGCCAGCCTCGCACTCGTAGCACTTGCCGCTGCCTTCACCTGAGGAGGCGCCACGAGCGCACGACTCGCACTTGGCCTGCCCCTCCTTTGCGGCGAAGCTGCCAGGCGAGCACGGCGTCGGCTCGGTGGCTCCGATGGTAGCGAAGTGGCCCGGCGAGGCGTCGGTGCACTCGCTCGCAGCGGTGAGGTTGGTCGCGTTCGAGAACGTTCCCGCGAGGCAGGGGAGGGGCACGCTTGTCCCAACCGGGCAGTAATGGCCAGCAACGCAGGGCTGCGCCTCATAGGTCGCCTCCTCGGGGCATTGAGAGCCGGCAGGGCAGTGGCCGGCGCAGCTGCTGCTCGATTGCTTCTCGGTGTCGGCCGAGCCGAGTAGGCCGGCGGCGCAGGCGAAGGGGAAGTCCTGGTCGACGGGCTGTAGCGGCAGCTGGTAGAGGTTCTTGCCGAGGAGGGAGGGGTCGCCTCCGGTCTCGTTGTTCCAATTACACGGCTGCACAAAGGTCGGGTCCTGGCAGTACCACGCCTCATTGACGTTGCAAGTCGCCCGCTTGTCGTTGTCGGTGTGCCTGCCGCACGCCGCCTCCTTCTCGCCCGATGAGGGCTCTGTCGCATCGCTGTCCGTGAGCGCGCAAGATTCGCGGTGCTCGAGGCATGCTGTCTGTTTGTCCTCCTCGTAGTACGGATCGTAAGCGCACGCCCCGCGGTACACCTCGCAGCGCGTGTTTGGCAGCCAGCGGCCGGCGGGGGCAGGGAGGGCGTAGGAGACCTCGCCAGCGAGCAGAAAGATGGAATTCCCCTCGCCCTCCGGGGCAGAGCAGCCGCGGATGAGGGTGCCGTCGCTCAAGGTGGTGCGCCCGCCCGCCGAGTAGAGGCCGCCGCCAGACTCTGATGCGCTGCAGTTGGAGATGAAGGAGCGGGCCAGGCTGGCTGAGCCCGACGCCACGTACACAGCGCCGCCTCGCGCGGCATTGCAGCCGGAGACGATGGAGTCGGTGAGGTTGAGGTCGGTGTTCCTCGTGTACGCAGCTCCGCCCGCCTGCAATGGGAGGCGTGAGAGGCGGCTGTGACTCTCCTGGCCTTGTATTGGGACGACTCCCCTCTTCTGGGCGGTGTGGCGCACCCGGCCAGCCGAGCAGCCCGTCACGGTCGAGCCGACTAGCGAGACCTCACCGCTGTAATACGCGTAGACGACGCCGCCGTACCACTGCGGTTGCGAAGAGAGAGCGGGGTGAGGCAGCCGCGGCCCTCTCTCTCCTCTCTCTCGCCCCGCTGCCGTGCGGCGCTGCAAGGCAGCTGCTAGCTCTACGCGGCGCACATCGCCAGCCGAGCACCCCGCCACATTCGAGCCGACTAGCGAGACCGCACCGCTGTAATACGCGTAGACGACGCCGCCGTTCTGTGGTTGCGAGGAGAGAGCGGGGTGAGGCAGCCGTGGCCCTCTCTATCTCACCCGGCTGCTCTGTGCTCGCTGCAGGGCGGGCTGCTAGCTCTACGCGGCGCACATAGCCAGCCGAGCAGCCCGTCACGTTCGAGCCGATTATCGAGACTGCACCGCTGTAATACGCGTAGACGACGCCGCCCTCCTGCGGTTGCGAGGAGAGAGCGGGGTGAGGCAGCCGTGGCCCTCTCTATCTCACCCGGCTGCTCTGTGCTCGCTGCAGGGCGGGCTGCTAGCTCTACGCGGCGCACCCCGCTAGTCGAACAGGTTCTCACGGTCGAGTCGATGATCTCGACGTCGCCTGCCCCCTCCGCGTACACAACGCCGCCGCGGTACCGCGGCCATTTACCCGCCGCCCTCCCGTTGACGAGGGTCAGCCCCCGCAGGGTGAGGCTGCAGCCGCCCCCGAGGTAAAAGAGCCCGGTCGACCTCTGGCCGTCGAGCGTCGCGCCCTCGCCGCTGCTCGCGACGGTCACCTTGATGTCGGAGCCGCAGCTGATCCGGCTGCCTAGCATGAGGTGCGCACCCGGCGGAAGGTAGACGGAGATGTCGAAAGCAGCCCCCTCGATCAGGGAGCGGAGTTCGGCCGCGCTCGTCGCGGAGACAGAGCCGGGGGAGAGCGGCGGCAACGGGGCCAGCGGCGGTAGTGGCAGTGATGGAGGCGGTGAAGGCGGTGAAGGCGGTGAAGGCGGCAGCACAGCTGGCACACAACAGTGGTAGTGTCCGGGCCCCGCGGGATGGTCCGGCGGAAGGATACAGTCGGAGTCGTCAGGCACGATCTCGGGGCACTCGGGAAACGGGGAATCCGCCCTGCAGCAGGCACCGCCGGGGCCGCAGGCAACGCACACGCCCGAACGCTGATTGCACTCCGACCAGCAGTCCCATGGAGCACTCCGACCTGGCGAAGCCAGCGAAGAGACTCCTGGGATCAATGCCAGATGGGCGAGCGACAGCAGCACAAATGGCACGCCGCACCTCGATCCTACCCTCTGAGCCGGTCGCCCCACCCTCTTAGATGGCAATCCTGAAGGGTCACTCGATGAGGGTCCCGAATGGTCAACGCAGCTCGCGCCCAGGAGTCCGCAGCAGGCGGCGAGGAGCATCAGCCGCAGAGCGACCGCCGCAGAGGAGCCCAATAGCCCATCGATCAGGTTGCGGAAAGCAGCATCGCTCGCTGCGGCGACAAAGCCCGGGGAGAGTGGCGGCCGCGGCAGCAGCGGCACCGGCGGCACCGGCGGCGAGCCAACCGACACCGGCACCGGTGCAAGCGCCAGTGGTGGCGAGGTCTGCCAAGCCGCGGGCAGCGACAGCAGCAGTGGCAGCGCAAAGACCATAAACACTGCCTGACCGGGACACAAGGCTCTACACGGAGAACGAGCAAGGGGCCTGGCGGGAGGGCTGGCGGGAGGGGCATGTCACCCCGGGTTTCTTTTTTCGACTGGTGGATATCCTTTGGCCGCGTTGGGTAGTGAGGATTGGTGTGACGCGATCCACGGTGTTTTCTGGCGGCCGACCGTCAGTGCACGGAGTTGCCCCTTCTCCGACTGCCCCGGCTAGTTCCCGAGTTTCGCGGGAGTGACCCCATGCGTAAAACCCTTGCGGATTTTCTTTTCTTGTTATGTGCTAGCTGGTGCCACGCCAGTATCCGATTTTGGCCGCGGGGGTCCGGGACGTCCCCTGAACTCGCGTGGCCCCTCGCAGCGATACAAATGATGACGCCTGAGCGCTACTCCTCGGGCGACGCCTCCGAGAAGGCCCCGCTCCGCGCTACTCGGCCCATTCGGGGCATCCACTGCCTGAATGCCACGCCGCCGCCGATGCCTCAAGGCATGGACTGCCGTGACCTGACAGGCGAATGGGAGGGGCCGTACGGAACAATCCTTGAGGTTCGCACCTGCCCTTTGCAATCACATGCACCCGTTGCCCACACCCGTTTCCGTCGCAGTTGACTTCGTGCGGCGGCGACTGCCTGATCGGCTGGCAGACCATTCCCGGCCTCCCTCCGGAAGCGCCGTGCAAGCGCCCCTGGTGCATGCGGCGAGTACACGGCAACTGCTTCTGCCAGCCATTTTACTTCACGAGCCAGAACACTGCGTATGAGGGCGTGCCGGGCTGCTGCGCCGTCGACTATGAGGTGCGGCGCCTGAGCGCGGGGCGGATCTCACGCTCCGCCGTCAGTGTATGACACACGAGCGCGCGAGCGCGCGGGGAGACACACACAGCTCACGGGACACGCTCTCTCGCTGTCGCTGCGGCCTTTAGCCTTTACGTGTTGCCGATTTTCGTCTTGAAAGCATGCACAGACAGTGAACACCTCCACAGCACACACAGTGGAACACGTAATCCTACAACGCAGCGACACTCCTGCAGGCCATGGACCACATGCGGGGACAACCCGCGACGACTGGCGCTACACCTCGGTCATGGGCGGGACGAGGGTCACACACCCCGATCTCACAGCCTCGTCTGCTTGCGTCCCGCCATGTACTGCTTCACTCTCGGGTGCGACTCGACGGCGTCAAAGGCGGCCAGCAGCCGCGGGCAGCCGAGCATCGCCGCCGCCGCCTTGGCCGGGTCGTCAAAGTAGTCGGTGAAGGTCTGGTACAGCGTCACGTCGGCGAGCGACAGGTGGCCGCCGACGACGTGCCCGCCCGGCGCGACCGTCTTCTCGAGCTGCTGCAGAAAGTCGGGCAGCGTCTGCCCATAAAAGTCGGCGAGCGCGCGCTCGCGCTCGGCTCCGCCCGCGCCGCGCGCCCGCTGGTATTTCTCCTTGAGGTCGCGCACGTGCTCGGTGAAGGCGTCCACCGCGGCGGCGGAGAGCTCGTCCTCGCCCATCAGCCCGAGCATGCGCGCGAAGAAGCGCTCGATCGCCTTGGACTGGGCGAGCACGGTCTCGCCCCCCACCACCACCACCGGCCCGCGTCCGAGGTTTGCGTCCAGCTCGCCGCTGTCCACCGCCGCGCAGTACTCTGGCGCCGCGACCGCGAGCCCGTCCTCCATCTTGGAGACGTCGAGCGGCCAGCGCGTCTCGGTGAAGGCGACGCCGCCCAGCGCGAGGGCGAGCCGGCTGACCTCCATCACGCCTCGAGCGTCAAAGTATTTGATCAGGATGCTCGGGTGACGGTGCGCCACCCAGGCGGGCGGAGGACGCCGCTCGCCGCTCGGAGACGCCGCCGCCGAGTCCGCGTCGATCGCCGGCGAGGCGTCGGCCTCCGCGCTCGCCGCGGCGACGTGACCGCTCTGAGAGGCCACCAAGCGGCCGGCACCGAGCGCCGTCGTCGCGGCAGCGGTCAGCGCAGCGGGCACAGCGAGGCGTCGGAGCCCCGACCGCATGGGCGCTAGTGAGGAGGCGAGGAGTCGTTATTGCGTCGCCTGCGCTGGCTGCGCGACACTGGCAAAAGAGAACAACATACCGCACAGCACACTGGCACGACAAGGGCGCGGACTGGCGCGGACTGGTACACACACCGGCTCACCAAACAAAACGTGAACACAACGCACTCTCTCACATGACAAGCGATCCCACGACATCGAATGTGGGGACTACATGACCCGTCGTGAGGGGTTAGCGCCGAGACTTTGAAAAAGAAACGCCCGGCGCCTCCCTCATCGGCGCCGAGGTGGACACAGTCTTGACCGCGGACTCGAAATCACACCCATGCCGACCGCGAGCTTTTCGCAAATCAAGGATCTGCAGGCGCGCGTCGGGAAGGCCTTCGACCTCAAAGCGTGCAAGGAGGCCCTCAACGCATGCGGCTGCGACCTCGACGCCGCCGAGCAGGCGCTCAAGGCCGCCGCGCCGGCACCGGCCGCCGCGCCGGCACCGGCCGCCGCGGCACCGGCCGCCTCCGCGCCGGCCGCGCCGGCGCCACCGCCGCCACCGCCCGAGACCGCGGCGCCGGCGCCGGCAACGGACCTGCTTGGCGCTCTCGAGCCGGAGCCGGCAGTCCCGGCGACGCCGCTCGTCGACTTGCTCGGGAGCAGCTCGGACCTCCTCGGCGGCGCTCTGCCGCCGCAGCCGCCGCAGCCGCCGTCGCAGCCGCCTGCGCCGGCCGCGGCCGCCGCCTTTGACGGCCTGGATGGCCTCCTCGGCTCGCCCACGCCCGCCCCCTCGCCTGCCTCGGCGCCCGCCGCAGGCCTGGCTGCTGCCGGGCTGGCAGACGGGCTCGACTCCCTCTTCTCGGTGGCGTCGGAGGAGGCGGCGGCGCCGCCGCCGGTCGCGCTCTTCTCCGACCCCGCCATCCCCCTCGCCTCTCTCGCCCCGCCCGTGGCCGAGCTCGAAGCACCCGAGCTCGCCGCGCCCGCGCCGCAAGCAGCGCCGCCGCCGCCGCCGCCGCAAGCCGCAGAGGAGGGCTTGCTGGAGGACCTGCTCGGGATCGCTCCGCCGCCGCCGGCGGTGGAGGAGGCGCCGACGGCTGCGGCAGCGGAGGCGGCTGCGGCGGCGGAGGCGGCGGCGGCGGCAGAAGCGGCGGCGGCGGGCGCGGAGGCGGAGGCGGCCGCAGAGGCGGCGGCGGCGGCGGAGGCGGCTGCGGTGGCGGCGGCGGCCGAGGCGGCCGAGGCGGCGGAGGCGGCTCGGGCCCGCGAGCAGGTCGACGAGGCTGCGGACGAGGCGCTCGCTCGCTCGCTGTCGGGCCAGCTGGAGGGCGGGCGGGACGAGGCCGCTGCCGAGGCGGAGGAGGCGGAGGATGCGGCTCTGGCTCGCGCGATCAACGCGTCGCTGCTCGAGGCGGGGGGGGAGGAGGAGGCGGGCGAGGGCGGCGGGGGCGGCGGCGAGGGCGGGGTCGCCGACGAGGTTGCGCGCGCCGCCCCCTCTCTCCTCGCCCTTGCACAGCCCCCTTCCCCCCTTGCACAGCCCCCTGCCCTCGCGCCGTCTCGGAGCCTGCTTGGGGCCCTCCCTCTGGCCCTCCCTCCCGAGGGGGAGGGGACCGCTGATCCTTCCTTGTCTCTGGGGGGGGGGGCCTTCAAGGGGCGAGGGAAGGTTGTTCCGGGGGGGGGGAACTTCCCCTTTTTGGAGGTGTAAGGGATTGAGGGGGGGGGGGTTCCCCGGACCAAGGGGGGAACAGGCGGCCCCCCGTATGAAGGCCAAAGGGGTGAAAAAAATCCCCCCCCCCCCCCCCCCCACCTTCCTCCTTTACACCCACCCCTTAGGAGCCCCTTCCGCACTCGCTGCCTCCCCCCCTCCCCCAGGCCCTCCTCCCCGCCCTCTCAATCACCAGCTGCCCCTCCCCTTGCCCAGGCCGCCGTCCTCGAGGCAGACGCCGCCCACCAGCAGCAGCTCGCCGCGTGGCTCGCGCCGGGCGCCAGACGCGTCGAGCCCCTCCCACCAAGCAGAGAGGGCGAGGGCGAGACGCAGAGCGCTGTGAACAGGCGCCGACGGCGGCTCCGTCGAGCCCCTGCCCCCGCAGGCCCAGCGCGCCCTCGCTTCGGTCGGCGTCTCGCCTCCGGTGCGATGGGCGCTGTGGAAGCGGCTGCTGCAGGTCGAGTCGATGGTTCCGCTGGCGGCGGAGGCGGCCAAGGTGCGCATGCCGCTCGCCGCTATCTCTGTCTCTCGGCTGCATCTCGGCCACCCCTCGGCTACCTCTCGGCTACATCTCGGCCACATCTCGGCCACCTCTCGGCCACCTCTCGGCCACATCTCGGCTGCATCTCGGCTGCATCTCGGCTGCTTCTCGGCGGGAGGTGCGCATGCTGCTGGCGACGCCGCTGCGAGGGGTGGCGGACTTGGTGGCGGACGTGCACACGGCGGTGGAGGCCGCGGTTGGACCCTGCGTGGTTGGCGACGGCGACGGCTTCCCAGCGGAGGCGGCGTCTGCGCTCGAGGAGGAGGGGGTGGCGGTGCTGCAGCTGCTGCTCAAGTCGCTCTCGCTCTCGTACTCGCCCGAGCTCGGCCTCGCCCCCTTCCTCGCCCCCCTCCTGCTCCTGGTCGCGCACGGGGCGGGGTCCGCCGCCCTCGAGGCGGGGGGCGGGTCGGTGACGCGCGAGGCGCTGCGCGGGCAGCGGTCCGACACCTCTTCCGCTGCATGTGCGCCCATCCATTGGCAGTGGAGGATGAACCATTCGCAATCCGTGAGTTAGGTCCGACCTTTTCAACTGCGTGTGCGCCTGCCTCGGCCGCCTCTCCCCCGCGCTGATGGCAGGCATGCCGCGGGGCACGCGAGGTGGTGATCAACTACCGGACACCAGTGATTAGACACCGAGGAGCTTGGTGGCAGGCAAGCCGTGGGGCATGCCGGTGACGGCGACGGTGCAGGGCCAGGTCCACGTCCCGGCGCAGCCGCCCAACCAGGCGCTGCTCCTCTGGTTGTGGGTGCTGCTCCGCTACTTGCAGCCCGCGCTCGCCCTGCACCTGCAAGCGGCCGAGCCTCCTCTCTCGGTCCGGCTGGGCCGCGCGCTCACCTCGCTGCTCGGCACGCACACGGACGCGGCGGCGCACCTCCGGCTGATCGAGCTGTGCCTCTTCTCCATCCCCGCCGAGGTCGCCTTCCCGCGCGCACACACGCCCGTCCTGCTCGTCTGCCTCCTCGCTCGGGGCAAGGAGTCGCTGCTCGCCATGCCTCTTCTAGGAGCCGTCTAGGAACCCTCTAGGAACCTTCTAAGAACCTTCTAGGAGTCGCTGCTCGCCATGCCGCCCGACTCACTGCTACCAGCCTTCACGCAGCTGCGCCTCTCCACGCCGCGCGAGGCGCAGCTGCTGCACGAGGAGGCGTGCGCCGCTCCATTGACTAGTCGGTGATTCGTGACTCGGTTCTGAACAGGCGCAGCTGCTGCACGAGGAGGCGTGCGCCGCGCACGCGAGCTTGCCGCACGGGCTTGCCGCGGCGGTCGCCGACGCGTGGGCGGCGGACCAGCCGATGCCGCCGCCGTACTCCGTCGCTTGGCTGCAGGGCGGCGCGGCTCGCCCCGTCCCAACCAATGCGTTGGGGAGTGCTGACGGTTGAGGTGCCGGCTAGGCGACGAGCTCGACCCGTCCCTGCACACGCCCGGCCGGCTGCGCCGGTGGGTGGTCGACTTACGCCCCGAGGCGGAGCACAAGCGCGGCTGTTTCGCGCTGACGCGGCACCTGCCGCCGGCCGAGGCGACGCGGCCAGAGGTGCGGGAGGCACGTCCACGACACGTCCATGACGTGTCGACAGCCCGGCAGGCGAAGCGGCCGGAGGTGCGGGAGGCGGTGCGCGCGGAGCTGCGCGAGATCTGCGACGACGGCGGCGTTGCTCCCGCGTTGCTCACGTCCGGAGACCCGCGCACTGACAAGGGCACCCCCGGGCTTGGGGCGCAGCTCGTCCGCGAGATCGTGGACGAGTTCCTCGCGGACGGCTTCGCCAACCTCGGCGTGCTGCAGGGAAGTCTCCCCTCCCCGCGCCCCTCGCCGCTTGCGAGCCGGGGGAGCGACGGCGCCTCGTCCGCCCGTGCGCAGGCGGCTTCCACGCCCTCTCCCTCGAGCAGCGCAGTGCGATGCTCGTCTCGGACGACGTGGCGCCCGACTTCTCCTCCCCCGGCCAGACCGACCGCCTCGCGGGCGCAAAGGCGGCGGCGGAGCGCGCGAAGGCGGAAGCGGCCAAGGCGGGCGAGAAGCTCACGCGCGTCTTCAGCTTCGGCCGCAAGCCGGCCCGCTCGAAGGCCGCGGGCGAGGGCGGCACCCCCTGACGCGCGAGCTGACACGCCATCTACTGGGGGCCGTGACTGTGCGGCTGGGTGTGCAGCATCTCCACCCCGTTCGACTTGTCCGTGCATTAGCCGCGCAGAGTTTCGCGCGAGAGAGAGCAGAGTCGAGAGAGGAGCGCACAGCCACAGGGTAGTAGCCAGTACAAGCTTGTTTAGATTGGAGCCGTGGAGAGAGAAGTGAGAAGACTTGTGGATTAAATGACAAGTCAGGGTGCTTACTTTTCTTGGAAACTACCTCCGTGGCCGGCGCGCGCGGCCGCGCGGGCGCTGCGGCAGGGTTTTTGGCTGAAAAGTATGGACTCGAGAGCCAGTACACGCGGCGTGACCCTACGTGAAGGCAGTATGCAACCCGTAGGGCGCGCCGTCTTAACCACGACACCCCCAAGTCTTAACCACGGTGGGTGCACGCGGCGGGCGCGAGCGGGCACGCGCTGGTGATGCTCCACGAGGGGCTTCGCAGCGCGCCGGCCGATGGCGCGGCCGACCCGGTCGCCGCTCTTTTCTACCGGCTCGCCGCGGCAGCCAACGGGTGGCGCGCAGCTCCATCCACACGAGTATACGTCTAGCAACTGCGCTGGCTCGCTCACACACGCATGCCTTGGAGACACTAGGTAGCAGCGCAAAAAACTATTCGTCGCGTGTGTCATTGCTGGACGTGTCAGATTGCAACCCAGGGGCGGTGGCCGCTTCGGCCACCGCTTCCACCGGAAGCGCCGGTAGACCCTTAGGCTCAGACAAAGCCCTATTAGTTCCAGATTCCGCCGCCACAGCTTCCGTGGGAAGCCCAGAAGATTGCGCCTGTGCTTGACTCGTAGTTCCGGCTGCGAGTCCGCGAGCAGAAGACAGGCTTGCCCGGGTCGGCCTCACCGTAAGACTGGGCGCGTCGCACCAAGCGCTGGCACAGCCCGTGTTTTCCCGCCACCGTCCCACGCACGCCTCGGGGCTCCCTCCGCACACGTTGGTTGGGCTGGAGATATTTCCGCCTGCCTTACACGAGGCGGCGTCGCTGCTCACCCACCATGACGAACTGCCGCTCTCCTGGAAGAGGAAGTACTCGCCCATGCTCGATTGGTAGACAGGCCTGCCGTTGCACAGCTTGCCAGCCACCCGTGTGTAGATGCCGTTCAGCTCTCCCCAGCTCCGCCGGGCCGCGCCGCTAATCGAGTACGCCGGCGCGAGCTCAGGGTTCTCGCACCGCGGCCCGCTGAAGCCGTCGCGGCAGGCGCACTCGCAGGTGACGGCGTTTGCAATGACGGAGCCGTGCGCACCGCAGACCTGAGAGCACTGCACCGCCTTCACGGCGAGGCCATGTGCGTTGCGCCAGTTGTTGCTGACTTCCACCGCCCTCATAAGGGGGAAGCCGGAGATGAACCTGTACCCCCTGTGATAATCTGTGTCCCACTGCAGCCACCGTCCCACGCACGCCTCGGGGCTCCCTCCGCACACGTTGGTTGGGCTGGAGATATTTCCGCCTGCCTTACACGAGGCGGCGTCGCTGCTCACCCACCATGACGAACTGCCGCTCTCCTGGAAGAGGAAGTACTCGCCCATGCTCGATTGGTAGACAGGCCTGCCGTTGCACAGCTTGCCAGCCACCCGTGTGTAGATGCCGTTCAGCTCTCCCCAGCTCCGCCGGGCCGCGCCGCTAATCGAGTACGCCGGCGCGAGCTCAGGGTTCTCGCACCGCGGCCCGCTGAAGCCGTCGCGGCAGGCGCACTCGCAGATGACGGCGTTTGCAACGACGGAACCGTGCGCACCGCAGACCTGGGAGCACTGCACCTCCTTCACCGCGAGGCCATGGGCGTCGCCCCAAAATGTACCGAACTGATTCCCGGAATGATGGCCGACAGTCCAGTCCCAGGGCGCCGTAGAATCGCCTAAGGCGATGATCTGCACCTCCCTCCACCCGCCTCGGCAGTCCGGCCTCTGATCGCACTCAAGGCCCCAGGTGTGGAGCCACCCTTTGTAGCCACAATCAGCCGCCACTACCCCAGGGGGGCGTGCATCGTGGCTACCCAAGGGGTCGTGGCGTGCATCGTCCCATTGTGCAAGGTTTCCGCTGGCGCCCACCGCCCACCCCGACTCGTCGCTGGGACGGAAGAGCACGATCTCGCCCATGCTCGATTGGTAGACGGGTCTGCCGCTGCAGAGCTTGCCAGCCACCTGTGTGTAGATGCCGTTCAGCTCCACCTCGCTCCGCCTGGCCGTGCCTCCAATCTCGACCGCCCTCGGGATGGGCGTGTAGAAGTTCACAGGACGGAACGCACGCGCCTGGCGCTCCCACTTGTCTGTAAGGTACTCCTTGAGCGCCTTGCCCTTTGCGGCGTCGACTCGCTCCACCAATTCCCATATGGGGCGCAGCTTCATCCCCCACGGGTAGAGGTCGTGGCCGTCCGCAGCGAAGCTATCCGCCCATTGCTGCTTCACGTCATCAAAGTTCGTTCCGTCCTCGTTCACGGTCAGCCACAGCTTGGTGTCCCCGCCTTCGGCGTGGAAGCTCCACGATATCTGCGCCCCTTTCTCATCTGTGCGCGAGCCGCGAGTGAACGACCCCTCACCTCCGATGAATCCATAGCTGTTCGCCCTGAGCGCCGTTTTAACACTGGACTCGGTGTCATATTCAGTCATCTGCTTCGTGTATGCCTTTTGCACAACGCCGCCAAGATTGGCAGATCGCGCGTAGAAACAGCCCAGACTGGACTCAATGTCCTGAACGCGCGACAGTGGCACACTTTCGATGTAGGCTTTGATCGATGGGTCCAGCTTCGTGTGCGGCCGTGTGAGGAATGCGCCTGCAGCCATAGCGCGCTGCTGATTGAATTGCACAAAACTGTCGATTCGGACGGTCTTGATGGACATTTCCGCGCTATCAGAGACGGACATGCTTGCTTCCCCAGAGAACACGCCAAAGTACGCGCCAACGCCCATCTCCGTCGCCATACGCTCGGCGATGGTCTTCTCTGACGTTGAGTAGACAGTGTCGCCGTTAGCGAGGTATTCAGGTGCAACATCCACGTCATCGATTGATAGGTGGAACAGCTTTGAGACCTTTCGGATGAAGTATGGTTTGTCCCGGTGAACGTCAAAACCGTACGCAAGGGCAAGCCACGGCTCTTCGGTCTGGCAGTGGGGTCCCGAGTAGCCGCCGTGGCAACGGCACTGGCCGGCTTTGCAGCTGCCGTGAATACCGCACACCACACCGTGGCAAGGATCTGCCATCATCTCGGAGATCCAAGGTATGCCCCGCGTGGACGCCTCTTCCTTCTCAAGCTTGATCCCCGGTGCCGCGTCCCCCGACGACACCATGTAAACGACGAGCAGAACGAGGGCTGCAACGCTGCCGGCGGCGAGCGCCGGCAGCGCAGTCCTGCACCGCTGCGAAGCCGGCTTTGCGATGGGAACTGCCATGTCACCCCCAAGGTACGCATCGGCGACTGTCGAGCGGCGCGGCTCGCTGCTCGAGCTGCTGCGCCGCCGCATGCGGGCTGATGGTTCAGGGGACGGCCGTCCGCGTCGGCGAATTAATATCAGCTCCGCCGCCGGGAAAGGTCTCTCTCTCTCTCCCTAATGCTGCCTCTCTCCCGTCCTGCACACAGCCGACAGGTCGATACAGAGAAAAAAGAAACCAATCCCCGTCTGCCAAGAAGAACAAGATAGCTACTCTACTTGACCGCGTGCCGCCAGCATCTCCGCAATCTCGATGCTCAAAAAGTCAAATGACCATCGTGCGTCCTACAACGGACGGCCATGCCCTACTCCCCGCAGCCTCGGCGGCGGGCCCGCACGGCGGGAGAGAATGCGACCGCTGCCACGCAGCCCGCCGTGCACCGGGCCCACAGCGCACCAGCGCCTCTCAGCGCTGGCCGGCTGATTCAGGTCACCACCACTGCGAGCGAGGAGGACGCCGCGGGCGCGCCAAAGCTCGGCTTCCTGCCGCGCGTGAGCATTCGGCTGGGCCTGCGCGCTGGCGGCGCTGAAGCTTCGGTGAGTGGCGAAGCGGCGCGCCGCTCCGTCAGCCTGGTCGTGAAGCGGAGGCCGCGGCCAGGCAAGGTGGTTACCACGACCGTCTCAGTGGACCTGGCCGTCACGGGTGGTGCTGTTTGCGGCCCTCCTCGCACTCATCGCCACGCGAGGCCGTACCACGGAGGCCTGGGGCTTGTGAGCGGATATGGCTGGCCGCAGCTCCTCTGCCTCGCTGACTCCCCACCGAGAGAGGATGAGATGCGCGCAGTCACCCCGCTGCTGCAGGTGCCCGTCTACACTGTTCGCAGTGAGGGGGCGGGGGTGCTGCGGTTGCGGCGAGATACCGATTACCTGTGGGCGCTGCAGAGCACGCTCATTGGAAACGTCACAACATGGCAACTGTTGCGCACATTGTACCAGGGCTGTCTTGCGTACCTCCGCTTCCGCCCCGCTCTCCTTGCCTGGCTAGAACGGGCTCAGCAGCGCCGCGGTGACTACGAGGAGGGAGGAGTTGCACGTCTGCGTGATCTTGAGGAGTATGAGGCACACCAGCGGCTGGACGAGAGTACGAAGACTGCCGTCCAGTCTGTGCAACGCGCTGGTGAGGGGAATGATTGGCGGACCGACAGCCTCACTGGCGGCGCGCTGACGTACCACGGCCTGGCCGGGACGCCGACGAACTTCCTCTCCACCGCCCTGCATTTTGGACACGTGGCGATCGAACGGTGCGCAGGAAGCCCCTCTTCGTACACACGCTGAACGTTCACTCGCCAAAGTATCGCCCACCGCGCCCGCCGCCGCGCCCGCCGCGCCCACCGCCGCGCCCTCGGCCGTCGCCGCGCCCGCCGCGCCCGCCGCGTCCGCGATCATCTGCCACACATGAAGAGACAGGCTCAGGCCGGGAGCGGAGGGGCGTGTAAGTGCACAGGGATGTAGGTGCGCGGCGGCTCACTCTGCTTGCCCTCGCTGACCGTGATCGATCGGCCCTGCAGCTCGTACCCGTCGAGCTCCATCACCGCCCGAGCACCCGCTGCCTCTTCCTCCATATTGAAGCCGGTCGGTGGTCTGAAACCACTCGTGATCGCAGCCGGTCCCCCCGCACCGCACCTGCCTGCCGGTTGCAAAGGGGCGACGGACGCTTGCGTCCTAGCCTCCAACAACGCCTCCCCGGCGCAGAGGGGCCCCCGCAGGGATGCACAACCGCTCCACGCCACGCCGCTTGCGGCGGTCCTCTTCCCAGCTCCTTCATACGTTTTTTGTCTCAGGGAGGCTTTTTTCGCAAGAGCGCGCGCTCCCGCAAGAGCGTCGGCAGAGGGTCCTCTATGGCGTGCGGCTTCGCGCAGGAGGAGCGGCGCCGCGTCGGCGACGACGCTGACGGCGGCGGCACCTCGGACGGATGGCGGGCGGTGTGTGTGCTCTCTGATCCCGACGCGGCGGCACAGCGGCTGCAGCAGCGGAAGAAGCAGATCGAGTACGGCAAGGACACGCCGGAGTACGCCGCGTACCTCCGCGCCGTGCCCAAGGAGCAGCGAGGGCGCGATCACCCGCGCACGCCCGACATCACCGAGAGCGTCTCCAAGCGCTGCTTTGACGGCCGGGTCAAGGCGTGGAGGCGAGCGCTGCACGGGTGGGCCGAGGCGCAGGCCGAGGCGCAGGCCACCGCCTCGGCGGAAACTGTGCTCGCGGACGAGCTCGAGGCGGAGCCGGGGTGTCCCGCCGCGAGTGGCGCCCGTGCAGGAGCGTCGGCAGGCGTGGCCGCCGTGGGAGGGGCGGCGGCGGCGCCCTCCTCCTTCCTGGCGCATGCGACGACCCGTTCTTGGCCGCTAGATGGATGGGAGCGGTCAGTAGATGGCTGGTAGAGGCGCGCCTCGCTTCCTGTCTGTGAGTCTTTGTTCAACAGTCGTCCTGGATCGCCAAGGTGGGGGTAAATCCAGATGCAAGACTGCTCTCACGTCTCACGTGTCACGATGTGTTTTTAGTGTTTCCAAGCAAAGCACAACACACCACAAAGTTGTAGCGCCCTCGAGGCTGCAAATGTTCGTCAATTCGCAGAAAAAAGAGTGTCCCCACGCGCGCGGTCCCCGGGAGCGATCTCGATCTCCGATCTGGATCGCTCGCTGAGCCCTGGGGCTAGTTCCATTTCACTCTGACACGCTAATCTTGAAAACGTCCAACGGAGCTCTGTGTTGCTCCCAGCGCCCTCCCCCGCGCTTCCTGCGGCCCTAGCCGATGGTACTAGCATAGGAGGGTCATCTGGCTACCGCGAGAGCGACCCAACTCGTCGACATCGTCCGATGATGGTGCCTCAAAGTCAGCCTTCGGAGGCTATCGTGGGGTCGAGCCGGCAGTAGCCGTGACATGTGGTTCCACCACCCCTCGTAGGCTTTGCCTCTGACCGCCACCGTTCCCAGGCTGCCTAATTGGATGGAAAGGAAGGCTCGGCGAGCGTATAGAAGCGTGCTCGACCTCGTCGTGGCAACCTGTACGGCAGCGCTGGCAGGCGCGATGAGCGTCGTGCCACCTGACCCGAGACGGGTCGCAGGCGTCGTACCGAGCGCGTCGAGACCGTGTCCTGATGTGATCTGCACGGGTGAGTCACGTCGGCGTCAAAGGAGCGACGTGCGACCTGTCAGAGCTTGATCTCCGATCTCAGCGGCGTCGAGTCGCCTTCGGCGGCGACACTTTTGTCCCTCCCCAGGACGCGCAGAGGCAGCTGCGACCCCGCCAAGTGGACGGGCGCACACCGCGCCCCTGCTGTGTGCGCCCGTCTACTCGGCGGGGTCGCAGCTTCCTCTGGAAGGCACCGAGAGGGACAAAATGGCGCAAATGGTCAAAATCAAGGTTTTGTAACGCGAGCTGTGCCAAATGGAACTAGCCTGGCTGTCTAGCTGTCACAGGTGCTGTCAGGTGATCTGTCGGGCTGTCGGGCAGCTGTCAGACACTGTCAGGTGCCTCTGTCAGACCAGCTGTCAGGTGCTGTCAGTGCTGTCGGGTGCTGTCGGGTGCTGTCGGGTGCTTGTCTGACATCAGAGGGCTAGCCAGAGGTGATCTGTAGCTGTCGGGTGCTGTCGGAGCTGTCGGGTGTTGCTGTCAGACGCTATCGGAGCTGTCAGAGCTGTCAGGCTGCTGCTGCTGTCAGACGTAGGGCCGGTGCTATCAGGAGCTGTCAGGTGGTGCTGTCCGGGGCGCTGTCAGGCTCTGACACACACCAGCCACACTTATGACACTATCAAGAGGATACCAGCAGGACTCTACTACACATACTCAGTCTCTACTCTGCCTCCGGTCCCACCATCCTTTTCATGGTGGACGTCACCATCTTCTGCCGCACTGAGAGAATAGCAGAGAGGAAGGAGGGAGTGCTTCTTCAGGTACACCTTGCTGATGATCTGGTAGTTGCTGGTCCAGCGGAAGGCCTCCCCATCGTTGTCGCTCGAGTCGTCAGCTTGTTAGTTCTTGCACGCTCTGTTCTGGTAGTGCGGGCCGTCTGGGGGGGTCCCGTCACCCTTCACCTCACGGTACACCACCGGAGGATAAAGAGGCCCTTGGGGTCATTGATGAAGACCCCGTTGCTGCGCTGACTCATCGAGAGCTGGCGCAGGTACTCTCGTCTGCGCTGCCTCGAGCTGCCAGTGGCGCGGCGCGCGTCTACCGTGCCGGCGGCGGCGGCGGCCGCCTGGGGGGAGCGCAGATGGCGGCGCAGGCGCAGGCGGCGGCGGCGGCACAGACGGCGGCGGCCACCCCCACCCAGACGCCGTAGGCATATGACTGATCTGTAGGGCCCCAGAAGGCTAGCTGGTAGCTTCATTTGTAGTAGCACAGCCGCGGGCTGGTCTGTGCTGCTGTCGGGCTGGTCGGGCTGTCGGGCTGTCAGCGCTGCTGTCAGGCCACTGTGTGCTGTCGGGCTGTCGGGCAGCTGTCAGGCTGTCACGTTAGGGCCTGACAGCGACGGGTCACCTCTGATGTCAGGCTCTGCTGTCAGGCTGTCAGATACGTGCTGTCAGGCTGTCGGAGAAAGTGCTGTCAACGCTGTCAGGCTGTCGGGCACTGTCAGGCGCTGTCTGGGGTTTGCTGTCAGGCTGTCGGACCAGGGCTCAGATCGCTCGCGCTGCCCCCCAGCCCGAGCCCCCACGGCCACGCCCACCGCGCACCGGCACCGCGCACCGGCCAGCGCGCACGTGCAGCGGCCTCTCTCCTCTCTGTCCTGCGGAGCCGCGCCTTTGGCTTTGCCCTTTCTCTTTGCCATGTAGCTTTGCCAGGCCGCCGGATCTCGCGCGCCGCCGTCTGTTGCGACGACGACGCGCCGAACATCAGGCGTCAGCTAGAGCTTGTCACACACACATCCACTACGTCTACGACGCGACACACCCCTCACACGGCACCGACCCCCCCACACCCCAACGTACACGGTGTTCCCCGCTGTGTGCCGATCACGCGGTGTCCCCTGTGCCAACTGATGGTCATCGCCTCGGCGCCGACGGGAAAGCGGACGGCGGCAACGCGGGCGGCGGCGGGCAGGGGACCGGCACCGCCGCGCTCATGTCTGCAGGCTTCCACTCGAGGGGGAGGATCGGCTCGCCCACCCGGTAGTTTTGCATGTGCTTTGCGAGGTCGTTCGAGCGGCGGTGGGCGGCCCTCTGGAAGGGGAGGAGGTCGGCGGGCAGCTGCGGCATGAAGAGCTTGAGGCAGTCGAGCACCTTGCGGCGGAAAGGTGACGTGTCTCGGACGCGTCCCTCCGGCCAGGCCGGGCGCAGGGCCGGGGACGGGCAGAGGCGGAGGCAGGCTCGGCCTCACCACCGCCGCCGCGTGCAGGCTCATCGCGACGCGAGGGGCATCCATCACCCCCCACTTGACGCTCGGAGACGGCACTTGGCCGGGCTTGTCCGCGGCGCGGCCCCTCTCGTACAGCTCGAGACCGCACAGCCGGATCGCCTCCGCCTCGTCCGACTCGAGCTCCTACTCTCATTGTTGCTCGAGTATGACCACGATGGTTATGTTACTCTCCGCCTCGTCCGACCCGCGCCTACAGGCGAGAGGCAGCCGAGACTCCCCCGAGACACACGGGCGTGTCTCCACCTCCTCCCAACCTCGGGCGGCGCCTTGGGGTACCTCGCCTCCTCCGCCGCCTTCTTCTCCGCCGCCGCCTTGTCCGCCGCAGCCTTCTCCGCCGCCGCCGCCTCGGCCGCCGCCTTCTCCGCCGCCGCCGCCTCGGCCGCAGCCTTCTCCTTCTTCTCCGGCGAGTCCTTGAGGTTGAGAGAGATCGCCTACCCGCGCCAGATCGCACGCGAGGGTCGAGCATGGCTCCACAGCTGCACTCGCGGGGGGCGGGTCGAGGCGCGCCATCTTCTCTCCCGCCGCCGCAACCTTCTCGCCGATCCCCTTCTTCTTCTCCCCCTCCTTCTCGCCCTCCTTCTTCTCGTCGCCGCCCTCCTCCTTCTTCTCGCCGCCCTCCTCGCCCTCCTTCCCCTCCCCCTCCTTGCCGCCCCCTGTGCTCGCAGCCTCTGGCGCCGGTGCAGGTGCAGGCTCTGGCGGCGGCGCAGGCGCGGGCGCGGGCGCGGGCGGAGGCTTTGGTTTCCTGGGCGGGCACTTGATGTTGGCGGCCTTCTCCTGATCGACCAGGTCAAACTGGCGGAGGAGGTAAGGGCCGCTGCGACACGCGAGGGGAGGGCAGACGGTGTGTGTGTGTGTGTGTGTGTGTGTGTGTGTGTGTGTGTGTGTGTGTGTGTGTGTGTGTGTGTGTGTGTGTGTGTGTGTGTGTGTGTGTGTGTGTGTGTGTGTGTTTGAGGTAACGGCCGCCACGACACGCGCAGAAGAGGGAGGGAGACGGTGAGCGAGATCGAGCTGCCGGGAGCCGGACATCGATGGATGTGTCCCGATGCGTGGCGAGGCTCGGTCTATCTACGGGCCACTCACGCGTCCGGACCCTTGACCTTCATTGCGAGCTCGATTCCGAACTTGCGCAGCCGGTGCGCGACGTACGGTTTGCCGCCCTTGGCCAACTCATCAGCGCGGAGAAAGTACGTCTTGACGCCGAGGAGAGATTGAGGACAAGGCACGTCGGACATCGGCGAAACGCTGGGTGCGGTCGCGTATCAGCGAGGCGTGTGGCGATGCTGGAGCGGCAGAGCCGACCGGCGTTCGAGCGACGGCAGCGAGCGGTAAAGGGTGTCGGGGGCGAGTCGGGGGCGAGGGTTGCGCCGGCGAGTTCTCTTTTTCTCTTTTTCCGGCTCGAGGAAACAAAGAAAAATGTGACTGAAGGGAGGGATGGGAGGTAAAAAGTTATTTTTTCTCGACCCTGCTTGAGCGAGCAGTGGTCGCAGAACCACCACGGGAGGATGGAGAACCTGGGGCCAAACCTCGACCCCGAGGAAGCGGCGCTGGCGCTGCGCCGCGCCCAGGTGAAGCTGGCCGCTGGCGATCTCGACGGCGCGAAGCGCTTTGCCGAGAAGAGTGAGCGCATGAACCCGACCAACGCTGCGCAGGCGCTCCTCAAATCGCTGGACGACCTGATCGAGTTCAGGCCTGGCACAAAGTGGGCCAAGGCGGTCGAGCGCATCCTAGAGGCCTCCGACCACTACGCGGTGCTCGGCCTTACCCCCGAAGCCGTCAGCGCGGACCCGTCGGCGCCGAAGCAAAAGTACAAGCGGCTAGCGCTCGAGGTGCACCCCGACAAGAACAAGGCGGGCGGCGCGGAGGCGGCGCTCAAGAAGTCTCAACGCAGGCGCAACGAAACCTTCTCCCAA